CCGCGCAGCGCCCGCGCCCCGGCCCGCTCCATCGGGCCCGCGCCTTCGGCTACAGCGCCCCGCGCATGGCGGCGCGCCGCGGCTCCCTGCCGCCCGGCCTCCGGGCCGGCTCCTCCGCGCCCTCAGGGGCCGCGCTCCTCGGCCGTCACCTTCCTCCTGGGACCCCAGAGCCGGGTGGCCACGGCCCGCAGCTCGCGGGGCCGCACCTCCGGTGGGCGCGTCCTCCGCCGGCACTCACTTTGGACCCGAGCCCGGCAGTCCTCGCTCTGGGACGCCCCCCGGGGCCGGGCGGCGAGTCCTCGCCCGCGCCCCGTCCCCGGCCTCTCCCCGGGCCTAGCGGGTGTGCGTGGCCCGGGCCTAGCGGGGGCGGCGGGCCGCCCGACACCGCTGCCTTCCCGCCGCCCGCTCGGCGCTGCCCGCGCTCTGGCTGCGGCGCGGGCTCCGCGCGGGCTCGGGCGGGCGGGGGAGGGAGGGAGCGAGGGAAGGAGGGCGGGCGGGCGGGAGGCAGAGCCGGGGGAGGAGCGCGGCCGCCGCGAGGGGAGGGAGGGGGCGCGGCGGGGCCCGCACGGCCGGCCGCGGCGCCCCACCGGGGACCCTCCCCGAAGGCCTCCGCGAAACATTCCTCGGAACTGGGAGCTCCAGGGCCTTCAGTTTATGGCTCTCAGGACTGTTACTTCGGACACAGGCCCGCGTGAGTGCGCCTCTGTTTTACGGGTGCGGGGCCTTAGGGGACAGAGAGGTCCCGGGAGGGTCGTTGCCGCCCCCACCCCCTTCTTCCTCCTTCCCATCCTCCCCGTCAGTTCCGACCGAGACAGAAGTGTGACAGGTGGCAGGCCCCTTCCCCGCTGTGCGCCTCGATTTTCCCGCCTCTCAAATGGGAAGGAAACCCGGAGCAAGGCCGCTGCAGAGGGCCAAGTATTGGGTCTCTCCGCGCCGCCTGGAGCGCAGCGTTTGCCCCGGGGCGCGCGCCCTGGTCCCAGAACCCGAACTGGGGCCCTGGGGTGGCCCCACTTCTACGGCGAAGGGCATGGCCTGGTCCGCGTCCTCCCCGGATCTCTTCGCTCCCCCAGGTGTGACCGGGAGGAGATTGGGCCGGACCCGGACTCCGATGAGGGGGCGGGGGCGGGGGCATCGGCGGACCCTCCGCCCCGGCCCCCGAAGGACTCTCGGGGGCTCTGCCTGCCCCGGGAGAAGGAGACGGAAGGCCGTTTGCACTTGGACCTAGCACGGAGCCGTTCCATGGTGTTTCCGAAGCGGTTTAACTGGAAAATGTGACCGAGCCGTGGCGCCTTGCTTCTCTCTGCCTCAGTTTCTCATCTTAACATCAAAAACTCTTCGGGGAGGGGGGTGGTGGGCAGATTCATAATGCACCCCTTCCAGGAGGCAGGGGCCAACAGGGTGCCTCCCACTGTCCAGACGGGAGCACCAGAGAGCAAGGGCTGGGTGTCCGCTTCGCCCCAGTGTTCCCACACTGCGTCGGATCTGCTGAATGAATGAATGCGTGAATGAATGATGTGACTTTCGCCTCTAGTTTTTGTCGGATTTGGGCTCCTAGGGCTCTCCCTGCTTCCCTTTGCATCGTGTCTTCACTCGGCGACTGGGATCAGCTTATAAAAATGGAGGAAGTGGAGGGAGGAAGAAGAAGGATTTACATTTAAAGGAGGATCAAGTCCGTGTGTTGCCGAGATGAGGGGCTGACAGGCTAATTTCAGGTATTAGTGCTGAGAGGCCCTCCCCCTCTTGGGGTCCTTCCTTGTGCCCAGTCCAGAGATAGCCAGCTCCCTCCTCCTTCACCCACAACACTCTTCTGATCCAGCTCAGAAGACCCTACTCCATTAGAAGACTATCACAATTTTAGAGACAAAATAGATGAGCAAAGCAATGAAACGAAATTGCCTTCATCCCCGTCACCAGCGACAACTGAGGCTAAAATATGTCCCACTTTAAATACTGTGTTTTTAGTTTACTTTTCACGGTCAAACTTTCTGTTTGTTACTCTATTTAGAACTTAGTCGCTGTATTTTCTGGCGCAGCCATTCCTGCTTCCCCTGGCGGCGGCGGGGGTGGGGGGGGGTAGTCCTAGAAAGGGACTCCATGGCACAAACTGTCCGATTTGTATCAGCGCCCTCACCTTGCCCTCTAGGTTACCAGGGCTCTGAGGGGGACTGCTTCTTCCCCCTTTCTCACCCAATGGCTGGGCATTAGGTTTAAAGAGGCTTGTCTCTGTCCCCCTGAGACTGTGGCCTCTTCCCAGGTAGGGTGACCCTACTGGGCCCAGAGCTCCCAGTGCTCCTTCCTGGGTTACGTCCCTTCCCCGGACCCCTCTCTTACCCCACTGTCCTGGCATCACTGGGTGCTCCGCTGAGATTCCACCCCATGTTGCTGCCATCAGGTGTGTATATATATATATATATAAAATCTCCATTTGTCCAGTGAAGGAGCTGGGTCCTGAATTCCAGTCCCCCGCCACC